AATTATGTGAAAGAACAGAAGCAAAAAGAACACTATAAAATTTCCAAAAATATCCTATTCATGAATTTTTAAATTGACGATGGAGGAAGGGATAAAGTTGTACTTGCATTTAGATTCTATTGGATTTGGTTTTAAAAACTAATGTGAAAATTTTAATCTGAAGTGGTAGTGTTTCTAATGTGATGGAAATTACATCCTCTGCAACTTTGTAAAGTTCTAATGAAAAATTTTAGAGGTCAGCTTGAAAATGGGAGGGGCGTATATAGTCTCTTTGGGTTTAGACTCTTTATGGTATGAACTCTCTTAGAGCTTAGAGATTACTGCCCCAAATGTCTTCACAGGGTCTCTGCGTCAGCTGTGGTTGGCCATGCTCTGGCTCCCTATTTGAAACCCCTGTGCAGTTGTCACAAGTGACAGTTGTTTGACCTGCACATATCCCACTGGCCAGTATATGTCGTGAACGAGGAGGAAGCCCTACACACGGCACCTAGTCCTGCATGACTGTGCAGTTTGGCCGCCCCATTTCTTCAACACTTACAAATTCCCTAAATAGATGCTGACTCCTGGGAGGGGGTCTGGACTCCACCTATCATCTGGGTCTGATTACCCTTCATCCTCTCCACACACTCATCCTCCCTCATCTCTTACACTCCTGTTGACCACTATCCTCAGGTCCTCCCGCCCCTCTGCTCTTCCCGACCAGTGTAGTGACATACTCAGTTCTCCATCCAAACTATCTGTCCTTCAACATTGCCTCAGCAAACTATTGTCCCAACTGTGCCTTTCCCTTCCTGACCCAATAACCTGTGGTCTCTACTCAGTCTTCCAGGCACTGGATGTTCCTTTCTGATTTCAATTTCTAAAGTACTCAGGTGCATGAGCAATATGAAAATACTCTCATCATAAGCATACCAAATATTCTAGAGTTAAAAGTCAGAGCATTCCTCCACCCAACACTGTTCCCAGCCTCTGCCCCCTGCCCTTTCCCGTATAAATTGTGGTGTGGTTCCTTCCACATTTGCATCTAGGTATGTACATGTATACATGTTACATAGTGTCATGTTGCATGGCATATGTCTTTTTCCCATAGGTTGTTCTGGAATTTTTTTTCCAAATATACACACATATATGTATATGTATACATACTAGGTTTGCTTCTTTTCTTGAATACTGTGTGGTGTTTTGTAGAAAGAATGCACCATAATTTCCTATTGGTGGGCTTGTAGATTCTTTCTCGTTTTTGTCCCTGTTGATGGACTTTCAGGTTATTTCAATTTTTTCCCCTTATTTTTTAAATGTTATTTATTTGTGTGTATGTGTGTGTGTGTGTGTGTGTGTGTGAGAGAGAGAGAGAAAGAGAGAGAGATGCAAGTGGGGGAGGAGCAGAGAAAGAGGGAGAGAGGGAATACCAATCAATTTCTATCAGTGCAAAGCCCAATGCAGGGCTCAATCCCATGAACTTTCAGATCATGACTTCAGCAAACATCAAGAGTCAGATGCTTAAGAGACTGAGCCACCCAGGTGTCCCTCAATTTTTTTCCTTTAAAACACTGTTGTAATGATCACCCTTTTATGTGTATCTTTCCTCACCCACAAGTTCATCTGAGGAGAGTGGAGAGGAAGGAATTAAAGCAATTGGCCTTTGGTTCCAGGAAAAGAAATCAGGTGACACATCTAAATTCTTGTAAATGTGCTGGAAACTGGAGCTCCAGGATAATAGACTAATGATGTTTGTTACATCTCTTATCTGTGGAATGCACTTAGAAGGATGCGGCTGGTTAAGGATAGCTTATGGTAAATAAACTTAGAATTTATGGATCTTTGAGGCAAGACTCCTGATAAAAGGCACATACGCTAAGTATATAAATACATGGCATATAAAATGGCGGTGTTTCCTCACCTAAAGTCTCTGTGTGGGCTGTTCCACAGACCTCACGTGAGATCTTACCTATTACCCTGGGCCAAAGAGAGTGTCCGATGCGGGGTTGAAAGACCTGGGAGGCACACAGGGTGATGCAGACTTCTCCCTGCTTCATGAGGACCTTGACTGTTTGTGTCCTTGAAATTATGAGCAAAGCTTTATTTGGATAAGATCTCTGATGCACACGAGTCTGATCTTGTGTTAGCAGAGATTACAGTAGGTAGCCAAGATGCCATCCAAGAAGGCTGGTTTATCAGTTCCTATTCTTACCAAGAGTCTGTTTCTCAGCAACACTGACTATAGTTTCACCAATTTGAGGGCCAATGAGCCAGTTATACCCATTTAAAATGGAATTTTCCTGTTTATTCATTACCGAAGTTATCTAAGCTTTAGTTTCCTCATACAACGCCTTATTTTTCCTAAGGTCAGGTGAAGATTATATGAGATAATCCATGCAAAACACCAAGAATATCACCTGGTACATAGTAAGTGCTCAGTGATAGCTAGGCGATGGAGCTCTTTATATTAAATTTTACACAGTAACTTTTTGATTATTAAGTATGTTGTAAATGTTTTCTCCTTGTCTGATGCTTGCGTTTTAACTTTATTTATAGACATTTTTCAAGCAGGAAATTTTTTATCTGATCAAATCTGTCACTCTCTTCCTCTATGGATTTTGTTGTAACTTGAATTTTTTATTGAAATCATTTTATTGAATTAACTGCTCCAAATTTCAGCTCACGTTTTCTTTACCCTGCTCTGTGATCTTGTGGTCAGAATCTTAAGATTCTTCTTTGGTCTCCCCAGTCATCACTCTTGTATGTTTTTTCATGGAGGGCAATCACGAGCCACTCCCTTTTCTCTTTGTCCCTAAAGAACACGTTCCTTTTGTTCTTGCTTTTCTTTCCATATCATACTCCCTGGATGATCTTATCCACTCTAATGGTTTCCATAGTCCCCTGCAGGCAGATGACAGAGGAGTAGTTTTCCTTTTTACCTGGTATTTCTAACTTGATAGTCCACAATCATCTTAAATTTCTTCTAAAACTAAACTTTACATAAATGGGCAGGAATGACTGAAAAGGGACACTGTTGTGCTTTTTTTTTTCCCCTTCAATTTACAGCAAACAGCATGTATGGAATATTTTTAATGATTAAAGGAATATAAATATGCCTGTATATTATGGCTGGAATCAGTCTAGGGAGACACACAAGAACTGGTAAAAGTGCTTGTGACAAAGGGGAGAAGGCAGGCTTTTCACTTAACTTCTTTGTTGCCTTTTCAATGTTGTGCCATGGTAGGTAATGCCTTTTCAAAGGGAAGTACAACCTGGTTACCAGAGGGGAGGTGGGTGGGGCATGGGTGACATAGGTGAAAGGGATTAAGAGTCATGATGAGCACTGAGTAATGTAGAGAACTACTGAATCACTATATTGTACAAAAACTAATATAACACTGTAGGTTGACTATATTGGAGTTATCAATCAATCAATCAAAAAGCAAAAATAAGTACAAGTCTATAAATAAATAAAAGGGATCCTCTCATCAATCCCATCAAAACTGTTCCCTGTTTTGGCTGGGGATGTCACTTATCTGCTCAGTTTCTGCTAAGTACTCTTCTGCTAAGCACCTCCTTGAATGCACATCTAAGTACCATATTCTGTTGAAATGCCCCAGAAACGGATTCTTCATCCACCTACTCATTCAACAAAGACCCTAAGGACACATAATAAGTGGAGCACAGGGCTGGAGGTAAAAAGATGAATGTGATACTATCAATACAACTCCCCTCCCCACACACACCAAAAAGGTCCCACAGACTAGGGACACAACAGCTATACCGCACATTTACATAGTATTTTGTAAACAACTGATTCCTTAAGTCCTCTGCAAGCATTTATTCAGGTAAGAGATCATAAAATATATTTTTATAATACACATAACAAAAACACATTGAATGAATACAAATTAAATGACAGGAGGTGACGGAATTTAGTGTTTATAAATGAGATCGTCAATAACTTTAACAATTCAGAGAAGAAATTCAAAGTATATTTAAAAGATGTGACCATGCTTTACAATACTTTATCATAAAATAAAGAATTGGGCTTTCAAAGGTAATGCATGACTTAATAGTTTTTCAAAAGATTTCACAATGTGCTTCTAGACACTGTCCTGCTTGGACAGGGAAAAAAAAAAGACAAGAACTTTGGCAGGCAAAGTATTAGTCCATAGCAGCTTGGTAAAGTTTACTTTCTTTATACAAAGATTCTTCAATTTACATTTATTCTTGTTACAGGAGCAGAAAGAACTGATATGCCAAGTGGAGTCTTAGCTATATAGCAAAAATAATTATTTTTAAAAGCCTGTACTCTATGAAAATGTGCACCACACAGCATCTATAGAAACTGAGTAAATGTAAACCATGTGATTAACTCTTCTATAGAAAATATTTAAACCCCAAATCTCCCACAATATCCCCTATGTCCACATCTCCTGTTTAAAGGCAGCCTCAAGCTTTAAACGAATGTACATTTGCTATTTAAAAAGTTCTTGCCTCCATTACTAAAAATGTTTCTGTAAAGTCCCTTGGAAGTTTTCTCAGTACTCTACTAACAAGATATCTCATGATCAGTAAACGATCACAAACTTTAGAAAGAAGTACCAAGGCTAGAGAAAAGATGAGCAAGTCGGAGGTTTCTGTCTCCAGCCCCCGGAAGACCTTTCTACTTTGAGACCCACAGCTCCAAGCCAACTCACAATTCCTTACGTTTAAAAAAATATTTTGTCATGAATAACTGAATAATTAGGTTTCTAGGAAAATGAGGCTTTTTTAAATTAAGATTTAGCAAAACTGACTATAATGAATTTTCTTCCAATCATTTATGAATGACAGAAGAGAAATCAGTTGAAATTTTACATACAAAAGATATAAATACTGCATAATATGTAGTGAATATTGGCACATACCCTCTTGTAATTAAAGCATAAAATGCAATCAGCAAATCTGATGCTTTTAAGGTACATTTATGATATAGCTCAAAAAAAACTCTAAATGGCCTAGAAACTTCCCACAGCTTAAGGCTTCCCAATAGGTTTGTAGCAAGCATCAGGTTGCCAGAGGCGAATATCAACAAGAACTTGATTGAGTTTTTGCATCCAGAGATCCCTCTCTTCCTTGGTATCTGCAGACAACCAGTTCCTACAGGAAACAAACAAAAGGTCAGGATCTTTTCCTCCATTCCATTCCTCCCTATACTCTTGCTAAGGGTGGAAGAAAGCCTAAGCAAATCAGTAAAATGAGTTACTCTTTACCATCTTTTAACAGATACTAATCAAAAGCCCCAAAGTGAGATGCTTCTTCAATTGCAGTAAAGGAAAACTATCCCCATAGACTGGTTAACTGAATCAAAATTCACACTGATCACATTTGGTTAATGATGGAGTTTCCACACTGAAAGATGGTAACCATCTTGTACAGGTGGTCTGGCCTGGGCAGTTTGGTAGTACAGGATACCCACTGAGTGTGGGCCACTTCCTATCAAGAGCTAAGGCACCACAGGTCTTTAAGGAGCCTCCCAAATTCCTCAGACATGGGATCCCCAAGAGCTGAAATCACCAGCTTGTGGACCCTCACCTGGCTCTACAGGTAATATGATTTTGTACGGTCTCCTATTATTTTTGTGTTAGTACTGTGTTAGTAGAACATGGTATTTACAATAAATCATTTAAAGATTCTAAGACTTTGTCTATCTGACCTCTCTGTCCCTATCAGGAATCTCTTCTTTGCACCCATATTTAGCCACAAATTGAATAACCAGTTGATGAGGCAGGTGAGGGTGAGGGAGGGGAGAATTCCCTAACTCACAAACCAGATCATTCTTTTAGGAACAGCAGTTGTTAGAAAGTTTTTATACTGTATTCATTCTGCATCTTTGTAATTTCTCCCCACTGGTGCTAGAAATTGGATAAGTAGTGAGCTGATCATCTATTAGTCAACAGATAGAACACAACATTTACTAATAATGACCATTTGTTGAGCTCATTCCATGCACTTGAGACTGTGCTAAGTGTGTTTACTCATTAGTCTCTGTCGCTGCTCTGTGGAAACCTAGGCTTACATCCTCAGTGTCTTATTACCAACTATTACCATGGCAAGTTACTTTACTTTGCTGGCCCTCATTCCCAATAGTTTATTCTATTAATCTCCAACCAGAAATTTGCAGAGTAGCATGAGATTGTTTTTATAAGTCACTTGAGTTCGTTGAGAGCATTTTGGAATGGAAAGGAAGGGACATGTAAAGCCTCTTTAAATAATACTTGCCTTCTCAATTGTATACAAAATCTTCAATCTTAACCCAAAGTACATTAGCTAACTGCTGTGGCTACACTATGAGTACAATGGAAAACTTGATTATCTAAGATACAGATTGAGTGTCATGCTTTTCTTAACTATATTAATTTGGTTATTAGACTGTTCCCTTACTGATGTGTGTGTATTTTCTTTCCTCATTAAGACTGTACTCTCTTCAAAGACTAGGACCATCTCTGGTATTTCTTAAAATGGTAATGACATAGTGGGCAATCAATTGCTTACTGGACAGAAATATTTATATTTATAGCTTAATACATACTTGGTGACACAGAGAGTGTCCCTGCATTGGCTAACAAGAGTCTCTCGGTCATCTTCTCTCTGTGGTCGGACAGTAATTAATTCAAAAGTGTTGCGTCTTGCACAAAATTCTCTGTTGGCTGGTTCTATTTGATGGCTTGTACAATTGGCCAGATTTATCCTTCCTATGGGATTCTTTAAAAACAAATTAATAGAAAATAAGATCATTTACATCAATGAGCATTAAGCAGTATTTAAGTTGGTACAAACTCAAAATTAAAAAGCCATTAACTTAAAAGTTAAAATTTAATTATAATAGGTTTAGAGAAACACATCTGTTATTGTTTCTTGCTGGACATAAAAGTAGAAGCCAAAACTGTCAACTGGAGCTTTTAGCCAACTTAAAAAATAAACTCTTTATTATGGAATACTTCACACAGATGCAAAATTAAAGCCATAGTATAATAAACTCCCATCAACCAGCTTCAACAATTAGAAACACACATTACTTTGTAATTATTTATTTCCATTTTCCAGTTTGGGGATAATAAATAATAATACTTTGGCAATAACATTAAATTCTTTAAAAATGAGACTCAATTTATCACATAAAATCCTATTACCAAATTTCAGAAACAAAATTAAAATCACTATACTCCTGTGGTGATTTTCCATTACTGTTTTATCCCAGATTTAGGTAAGTCAACTATTAATAAAAACAAAATTGAATTTAATATAGTTCTAACTAAAAATGTTATTTACAAAATGGTATGAAACGTTCTGAAAGAAAAGACAAATATGTACCTTAAGGTATTTTAAGAGTGGTCAAATCACAGGTAATGGAAAAGACATAAAACTTTTTACACAAATACTAACACACACAAAAACAGGTCTCACAACAAGAACATTTTTAATGGCTTAGTAAACGTACTCAAAGGGGAATCTGGGTGGGTGTGGAGACCAGAGGGAACTTCTGTATGAAAAACTACTTGAAAGTCAGAGCTTTCACCACTAACCAGGACTATTAATATTACCTTCCGTTTCTCATCATCTGGATAAGTCCAATAAGAGATACAATTTCCCGAAAGAACACACCATCTTCGATGCCAGGCACCAAAACCACTAACATCTTCAAATATGGTCTGAAAAGTCAACGAAACACTAACTTGAGAAACTTGAGAATCAATTAAATGATAAATCTATATGCTAAACTTCAATGTGTTGACATATTTCATACTTCAAAATCTACTTACATTATTTTTACCATCTTCTACCTTAGTAATGAAAATCACTGATTGCTCATACCCAGAAATTGACCCAGATTTTCAATATCATCAATAAGCACGTTGAAGAACTTCTAAACATTAACCCCAAATTAATACCTCTAATTTAGACATTTTTAAAGCCTAGTGTCCCAAACCAAATGCTCCTTAAATAAGAGAAAAGTGCTCTAAGTATTGTAGAGTAGAATATCCTGCCTTATATGTTGACAAAACTATTGATAGCTTATTAAGTTAGACCCATCTTAATATAAAAGACAGGCATTTAATATTCATTCAGAAGAACAAAACAGGATTAGAAAGGAGTCATCTAGTAATTATACATGCTGATGGATTACTGTGATAAACATCAGAGACCCACGTTCACAGCCATCAAGCACATCTGACATAGCATCTCCCTGTAGTCAGGCAGCTGGCCAGCTCATGTCTTGGCCGAGCGCAAGCCTTAGAGATGCAAGCTACATTCTAAAGGGAGTGAAGCAGCCATGTTGGTTAAGGTCAGGACTCTGAAGCAGGCAACTAACAACATCTGGCTCTTTTCTATGAAAGTACTTCTATTTAAACAGTGTAAGTGAAAGCAGCTCCCTCGCCGCCCACCCCCCCGCCCCCCAGACCTCACTATTTTTTCATTGTAGTCCTAATAAGCCCTAATTAAAAGTCTTTACTTTTGATTTAAAAGAAAAAAAAATTCCTTTAGGAACTACTATTTTTTAAAGCACAAGGCAAGGTAAAACGTAACAATGCTAAAGATCAGAGATTGGCAAACTTTTTCTGTAAAGGACCAGAGAGTAAAGATGTTAGACTTTGTGGGCTATAAGGGCTCTGTCACAACTGTTCAGTTCTGCTAGGGTAGTGCAAAAGTAGTCCTAGATAATATGTAAACAAATGAGCCCATGTTCCAATAAAACTTTATAAAAACAAGCAGTGAGCCACACTTTGCTGACCCTAGCTAACATAGATAATCCAAAAGCATATTGGTGTTTGACTTCAGAATGCAAATGGCTCTTCTACCTTCACAGGGATCAACTAAGCCTCATACCAACCCTAGGATAGTGGACATATGCTCTTCTCGTTCACTAATTTGTGTGAATTTACCAAAAGTTGGCTTGAGTTAGGAAAACAAGCTCTGACTATGGAGGAAAGTTACTTTGTATGAAGAAATGTTTCCATGACAGAATGAAGTCTGTTAGCTTAATTAATTAGCCCAAATTAATTAGTTTACTCTAACCATATATCCTCTTACCCCACCTTAGTTTCCTCCTCCCCAATTTATCCGCTTTCCTCCCAAGGCATGCTTTTTCTAGGCAATACTGGCTCAAAACCATCCAGGGGAAAAAGACAGGAATGTTGTTCTTTTAATCTTAAACACAAAATTAGTATAAATGACTCACCAGCTCCCTCTTACGTTTATGTTCACCTTTTACATCATAAAGGTAATAGACATGGAAAAATTTTATGGGTAAGAATAACACATTGTTACTATACCCTACTATTATCAGAGAAGAATAAAAAGAGGACAGCATTTTCATTTTTATAGTTGAGGAAAGTTCAGGCCAAGGAAATCAAATGACGGTACATAATCACAAAGCAGAACTGGAAACTTCTAGCTAATCCAGAACTTCCTCTCTTGCTGCTCCTCAGTCAAGGCAGAGCCAGATTAGCACCATTTCAGAATCACTTAGTAAGTTTCTTTGGTTAGTAGTCACCTTGCTTCTAGCTGTTCTGACATATCAGGAAGGAAAACTGAACCAAGCAACTTTAAGTTACTACCTTTATCTTATAAAGGGTAGAGGCAGTTAAAAGGCACGTTTGGCAGACTTTATTTTAGGGAGTTCTGAGCAATTTCTTACCACATATCTGTAAGCATGGATGTGGTAAGAATGGGCTATAGGATCTAAGACAGAGTAAACCTGAAGAGACCTAACACTAAACTAGCTGAGAGCCGAGCTCAAAAATTAAATAAGTCTGACATTATATGCAAATGAACTAGCTGCCATAACAGAGTCTGTCAGTTGCTAAAGGTATGCTACAGTAAAATATGAAAATATTTACACTACAAGAAAAAGTCAGTAGGTAAACATTGCCTTCAAGTCAGAAATTTATAAAAATACTTTTCCAAGAATATCTAGTGCCACCTACTGGATTTACATCAAAAAGCTAAGGCAGACTGATTTACAGTTATGTTGGCCACAGAGCTTTCTGCACCCTCAGATAGCAATTGCAAACTGATTTTGTGATATCCTTTGTATCATTCAAATTCTTGCTTCACAAACCCAAAGCGATCAGATTTTCTCTACTTCGTGCACAATACTCACAATCTTCTATATATTCTACACACGTACTTTTCTCCTCTGATAATGGAAAAAGTATAGTGGACCCTTGAGCAACCCAGAGGTTAGGGCCACCAAAAATCCACATATAACCTGACACCCTACCCCCCACCAGAAGTGACTACTAATAGCCTACTCTTGACCAGAAGCCATACCGATAATATAAGCAGTCAGTTCACATATATTTTGCATGTTACATGTATTATACACTGTAAGCTTACAAAAAAGCAAGTTAGAGAAAAGAAAAGGTTAAGAAAATCATCAAGGAAGAGAAAATATACATTCACAGTACTGTATGTATTTATTGAAAAAAATCCAAGTATAAACGGACCCATGCAAGTGTTGTTCAAGGATCAGCTGTACTTCTGAATAAGCTCAAACCGTGAACTGTGGCTTGGGTCTTACTTCTTCTCACTCTCATGACCTCGTTCCATATAATACTCCATAACCCTAATGCAGGTTCCCCATTGCACTTTCAACCCCTCTGCCCTATTAGAAGCCACCCACTCGAATGTAAAGATTCTCGAGTCTCTTTGATCTTATTTAAATGCCAACCAAACTCTTCTCTCACCCTATACAGCTCTGCAGGCACCACACTCTTTGCCCTTTGCAGCCAAACGTGGTTTCAAAGAGCTGCTGATGCTTTCATTCCTCCCCTCCCACCCTGTTCATAACCGTCTGCAATCTAGGTTTGTGCTCTGCCTTGTAAAAGAGTCCCATGGTCTCTGCTAGGTCCTGAGCTAACTTGACCATTCCCTCTTTCAGATTCTCTCTTCCTCAGCAGCCATGACATACCACCTCCCCCACTAGGCTCCTTTGCGAGCTTCTCTTTCTGGATCTGTGCTCTAAATGTGAGTGTTCCTCCGGTTCTGCTTTGCTCAACTTCCCTGCACTTCAATCACTATCACTCAACCAAAATTCCTCTCTTGAGCTTCAAACCCCGATCTTTGGAGGTACCTAAAATTCAAATTGTTGGAAACTTAATTCATCCCACCTTCCCACCTGGGGTGGGGACTGACTGGTAGGAAGGAACTTTCTAGGGCAATATTCTGCATCTTAATAGAAATTTGGGTTACAGAGATGTATGCATGTGTCAAAACTCAGGGATGTACACTTAATATTTGGAGGAACATGTTAATGTCTACAATATACTTTAAAATTCTTCCCCCCCAAATATATTTTCAGCAGTGGCCAGAGGGATAGCTGGAAGGATGGCTAGGTAGTAGATACATGATAAAGCAAGGATAGTAAAACATGTTAAGGGCACAATCTAGATGGTGGATATATGGGTGCTCGTTGTAAAATTCTATCAACATTGCTGTATATCTGTAATTTTCCACAATAAAATTTGGGGGGCAAAAAACTTTCTACCCAAACATGCACACTTACTCCTCCCCCAAGATCCCTGATCTTAGTGGCATCACTGCCACCCAACAAGTTGTACAAGGCAGGGATGAAGGCGACATCCTTGCTTCTGCTTTCCACACCCTACGTCACACAGCCAAACCACTGGGTCTGCCCTTCCACCTGCTTCATCTCTCCTGGCGCACCTCACTGCCAGGCCCCATCACCTCTCTTGGAGTCTCCTCACTAGTCTTCTTCAGGGTCGCCAGTCTCCAACCTCCTTCCCACACATCAGGCAAATGGCTTTTCTAAACCTCAAATTTGATGTTATTCCTCTGCTTAAAATCCTGCCAGTGAACCTCACTGGCTTCGAGATAAAGTCCAAATTCTTTCAGAGGCCCTTTAACACCTGGCCCCATCTCCCCTAACCACACTGTCCGCAATCGCTCTCCTCACTGTCCCTCCTGCCCATAGACACTCACACCCTAAGCGCCGGCTGAAATACCTGCCGCTGTCTGTGTCATCCTTTTCGGTCCTGGTGAGAGAGGGAAGGGCCCTCCAGGCCATCGTACATGCTCTTCCCCTTACCTGGAGCACTTCTTCCTCCTCTTTCTCCTTGTCTAACTTACTCGGCAACTTACCAGTTACTTCTTCCAGTGGTTTCCTTAAGGCCCTGTACCCATACTTCAGACCTGCTGTCCCATCAATGACCCCCATGCACACCAAGCTCCCACTTCTTACAGTGCTGTATTGCACTTGGCAGTTTACTTGTACTTCCCCCTACTACACTAAAAGTTTCTCAGGGGAAGATTATTTCTCGTGACCTATTAGATTCCAATTCCAGCACAGTGACTGGCATATAGCAGACATGCAACAAGTCTTTACTGAACCGATTTATCACTTAATCACATGGGTTTTCATTCCTATGCGAAACCAAGTCTATACTTCACAACATGAAAAAAAGGAAAACATAGAGTAAGTGATGTTACTTACTAGAAAACCTCTTTCTTCAACACTTGAATTCACTTGACATTTTATTTTTAAATAAATATGACCTTCCAAGGGACATAAAAAGGGTACCTGTGAAGACAGAGGGTAAATTATTTGCAAAAGTTTCACTGTGATTTTTTTCTGATAAAACATGTATAAATCATGAATAAAGAATATTATGCCTTGAAAGCACAGTATTTTCTAAAATTGGAATATAAAAGAGGTGGCCAAAAGGCCACTGGTTCCTTAGCAACAAATGCTTTTGGAGAATAAATTCATTCAAGGTAGAGTTTGATAAAAACAGAACCCTCAGTCCCAAGTTAATGCAATAAAGGAAAGACAGATTTAAGAAGAGAATACATGTGCTTACCCATTCTCCATCAACAGAATATACTCGACTGGTAAGTTAATATAATACATTATTACTCAGCAATAAAGAATAGTGAGCTTCAGAAATGGAAAAGCTGATCCTCAAATTCATATGGAATTGTAATTATTAATTATTAATAACCAAAACAGTCTTGAAAAGGAAGAACAAAATTGGAGGAATCATACTTCCCAACTCCAAAATTTAATCCAAAGCTACAGTAATCAAGGGGTGCCTGGGTGGCTCAGTCGGTTAAGCGTCCGACTTCGGCTCAGGTCACGATCTGGCGGTCCGTGAGTTCAAGCTCCGCGTCGGGCTCTGTGCTGACTGCTCAGAGCCTGGAGCCTGTTTCAGATTCTGTGTCTCCCTCTCTCTCTGACCCTCCCCCGTTCATGCTCTGTCTCAAAAATAAATAAACATTAAAAAAAAAAAAATCAAAGCTACACTAATCAAAAAACAGTGTGGTAAGGGTATAAGGAAGATATAGACCAAAGGAACAGAATTGAGAGTCGAGAAATAAACCCATACAGCTATGGCCAATTGATTTTCAACAGGGGTACCAAGACCTTTCAATGAGGAAAGAGCAGTCTTGTAAACAAATGGTGCTGGGAAACTGGGTATCTACATCCAAGAGTGAAGTTGGTTCCCTACCTCATATCATATACCAAAATTATCATATACCATTACCTAAAATGGCTCAATGACTTAAATATAACAGCTAAAACCATAAAACTCTTAGAAGAAAACATAGGAGTAAATCTTCATGATCATGGATTTGGCAATAGATTCTCAGATATGACACCAAAGCATGAGTAACAATAGCAACACCAAAATACATAAATCAGACTTTATCAATATTGAAAGCTTTTCAGAGGTTTCTCCAAAAAAAATTAAAAATAGAACTACCACATAATCAAACAGGTATTTATCTAAAAGAATAAGAAACCAATTTGACAATAAATTATATTTTTAAAAAATAGCAAGAGAATTAGAAAAAAATGAATAAATAAAAATAAAAACAGATTCTCAAGGGATGCGTACACCCCCATGTTCACTACAGCATTCTCCACAACAGCCAAGAGGTGCACACAACCTAAACGTCCATCAACAGATGAATGGATACAGACAATATGATGCTGAATCCTTTCTCCCCACTCCTGAATATGAGAACTACTCTAGGCCACACAGATCTTGTTCTTTTCAAAGTATGAAGTTTGTCTTCCAGGCTCTGAAATTCCCCTGCATGTGTTCTCTTCTGTGCCCCAACCCATAGCCCCATACTTTGCACAGCAGATCCTTGAGGTCAACTATCATGTCTTTTCCATGTTGGTTCCCATAGCCCACTGCCGAATTCTATTCAGGCATTTGACAAATGTTTGCTAAAAGAATACTGTTTGGCCAAGTAAGTACCCAGAATTTTCCTATTAAGAAGGAAGGAAGGAAGGGAAAAGAAAAGAAAAGAAAGGAAAGGAAAGGAAAGGAAAGGAAAGGAAAGGAAAGAAAAGAAAAGAAAAGAAAAGAAAAGAAAAGAAAAGAAAAGAAAAGAAAAGAAAAAAGAAAAGGAGAAAATGTAGCACACAGGTAACCCCTGGCTTTTCAAAAGTCTGCCCACTTCACTTGTACAAAAGACCTACGTTAGTACCTGTTTTTTGCTAACTGAAAGAAATCCAAAGAGGATGTTCGCTTTTATGAAAAAAGGCAAAAAGCAAAAAGAGCATTCAGCATTTGTTTTGCAGTTGGCTGTGATGGAGGCAGCATGCACCCCTAAACAGCAAGAGTGGCACCAGTTCTTTCCTGGGGACCACACTCAGTATCTCAGCATCAAGCCGCCATGGCTCTGACCTGTGTCTGTGGGAACCTGTGCTTTGTTTTATTTTGTGCACCTGTTAGCAAATGTGTCCTAGGGAATCAGAAAATCCTGAGAGAAGCTACTTTTGAGTGTAAAAAGCTTCTTTTGAGTGTAAGGTTAGTTTCCAACAATTCAGTCCTCCAACACAATAAAGATAAAGTAATGGGAGAATTCTTAGCCAAAAAGGACAGATTTCAACAGACTAATTCCATGAGATAAACCTCTAACTTTTTGAATTTAAAAGGCATCCAAAATGTAGAATCAAAACATCAGGTACCTCATGATCCTTTTTGTTATAAATTCCCTCATTTTTTTCTTTTCCATATTGTCAGTTATAAGTTCCTGAGGCTCTCAGTGCTAATTAATAGAATCTCATGTTGAACCCAGAGAATGCTGCTGGTAAAAAGAATCTCCGAAAAATGAGAAGAAAATGTTCACCCTTTCTCTACAGCTATGAAAAGTTGACAATATTCTTGGTCAGAAGCTTGTCCTGATGAGTGAATTGAGAATATTCACAAAAGGGTCAATATTCCTACCCCCTGTGGAATGTAGAAACCTGTGAAAATGTATGATCCTATTCGGTTTTCTACTTAACAAAGGGGTCTTTGAAGATATTCTCACTTCAAAGATTATTGTTAAGAGCTATAAAATGTAACTTACAACCAGGGTGGCTGTAATTTTTCATAAAGTGGGAGATCTCTGAGAGAAAGGGGTACTGTTAATAATTACACTGGCCCAATGGGCAGACACCAGGACTAGGATAGCTTTGGGTACAGCAGAACACACCTAATCACTCCTCCTATAACCTTGAAATTCTACAATGCTAACTGGTTGTCTTACTTCACATTTGTTTGCTCCACCGCTATGTAAATTGCCATCTCTATTTCCAGTAGGGTGTAAATACCTATGAGGTTTCTTTAAGTCAAAAGATGAGCTGTGGGATGTCCTTTTCTCTTTATCCATGAAAGTGTAATAAAATCTATGACTATTTCGGATTCTGTATTCAAAGAAAAGACTTGAGAGCCTGTGACTCATGGAGATTCATAATTTAAATTCCAGGATGCCAGACTTAACCTCAAATAAGAAGGCAATTGCTATCAGTGGTCTCCTAAATCTACAGAGCAAACAGTCTGGGTTAACCTCAACAGGAATTCCACTCTGAAGGTGACCTAAGAGATAACCTTTATGACTGCTGTTGTCACGGCACCAATAAAATAAGCAAACACTCACTTTATATCGCTGGTATCTGATTGGATATGGGTCACTTGTCTATTTTCTCAAAGTCAATTAAATAGGATTATTATAGGAGTATAAAAGGTCTTCCATTTTTCTCACCAATTTAAAGAACATCTAAACTTTACTATTTTAAATATTCTCCTACATCAACTATAAACTATTGGAACAAATATTTGCTTCCCCCTGCCACTCACAAAAGCATGTGATTGTATTTGATTCAGAAAGAGATTTTAGAGTATTAGACACAACCAAATTGAGTGATTTGATTTTGTGCTCAATCATGTGGTTGGCTATTTAAGACATAATTTCAAAGATATTAAAAGAATGAAAATATCGGCATTTTTTTAAAATTTGTGTGGGTGATATTTTGAATTAAAATGGCACCCAAAACATTTCTCAAGACCAGTCTATATTTAACATACCTCATTGAAATCTCTTTCATTTTAAAGATTAACAAAATCTCTTACACATGTAGAAATTGGCACTTTGTAAATTTCTATATACCCACAGAATGTCTGCAATTGATATTTGCAAGGAAATTAAAAATCCAAAAAAAAAAACTGTAAAACATATGATTATACTCAGTACAATTTTAGTGTTAAACACACTTTAATTTCAAAGTCACTGAACAAAGCATCATCTACACAGCAATAATCCTATTAGCCAATTGAGACCACTTTTATAAACATCAACAGTAGCTCTTTCAATATAGGGGAGGTCAACAATACTGAATACATTTTAGTTTTAGTTATTAATTTGGTATTTTAGTACACATAAAATCAAAGCTGAAGTGACTATGGAATCTTAAAGAATTGTAACATAAAAAAAGAATATAGAAGAAAAGACCAAGTACCAAACATGCATGAAAAAAATAAGAGGACTGTCAAAGAGAGCTTTAAAGAATTATGAGAGTAAAGAAAAAGACACCCATCTGCAAGAATCTAAAGAAAGAATAATGTACATCGTGTCCTTAATTATTTAAAATAACCAAGAATACATGAGAGTGGTTAGTGAAATGAATACATTTGAGCCAAAAATTAAGGATTGATTTTTTAAGCTCATTAGTTTCAAGCAAAGAAAATATGGCAACCTTTTCCTGGAACATATAGCCCAGTAGCTCTCGCTCTTTTACATCATAATTTATCTAAAACACACAAAATAAAAGACCCAAGATCACTCAATTTGTTAAACTACCTGAATTACTAAATAAAAAGTTATATAAAGTTTTAAAAATTAACATGTTAAGATAAAATACATATGCATTAACAACAATCAAAATTTCAAAGGTAGTCTGTTTTATGTCTATCAACTAAAAGAAAAATGTTTCATAGAATTTTAAAGTTGGATTGTTTTAATCTAACCTAATATTCTCCGCTGGGAAAACAAGATCCTGGAGAAATGAGTTGACTTTGCTCCATGTTAAAAAGGAAATTACTAGCAGGGCCAACATGAGGAACCAGGCCTCCTAATTTTTATATTTCCTCACTTCCATATTCTGACTAGGAAAATCTCTTAAAATATTTAAAAATACCTCTGTATTATACCACAGGTGTCAGCCCAAAGACCAAAGTTTGCCACTAGTTCTCCCACTCTTTAAAATGGTCTTGTTGGCTATTTTAAAAGTTTAGTCATATCACCTTATGGTGAAAAAGCACTCAATAGCGACAGAACGCAGATCTGAATGATGAAGCTTTTAATTTGGGGAGGAAAGTATGGGAAAGAAATCCCTTAGATTCATGAGTACTTTTCTAAGAAATTAACCTATCTTTCCCTATCTTGTCAAAACTAAATCTATAAAATAGTATTCATTTCAAAGTACTGGTTCAAATGGGCAAGTTATTATGGTTAAAACTGTAAGCTTAACATGCAAGAAGTAATACATACTTGTGTGGTCAGAAGTAACATTTAGAATAAATCACTATACACTACTTTGAAGATTTAACTATTAAGAGATGAGAGAGAAATACTTGCAACATCAAGAATGTAGGTTTAAAATACTTGAAAGTGTTGGGGCATTTCTACTGACCTAATTTGTCTAAAAGTAAATAAATAAATACATTTGGATTACCTTGTCCAGAGCAAATTTAGTGTTTCCTACTGAAGATAATGACAGTATGTAAGACCCAACAAGGGCAAAGTTGCTGGTACGCACAGCATGGAGACCACCTGGACTGGCCATGACTGGAGAGAAAGGAAATGAAGGTGAGTCCAGAGTGATTTTTGCAAGTATAAGTAACAATTCTTCACCTCACCCCAAAAGAATTAAATTAAGTCATCACAGAGAAAACTGCCATTTTCCTCCATTTTTAAAAAATGAAAAAAAACTGTTAAGTACTTTAAATTAACTTAGGTGAGGCAGTATAGACATTCCTTATCATTCCTTTGGGATGGCTGTATGTTTAAGACACAGAACTTAAAAATGTGCACATAAAACAATTTTCCTAAAAACAAAAACAACAACAAAAAAAGCAATTTTCCTAAAAGAGATGTGAAAAGACTTCATTGCTCTAGTCTAGGATGATATAATTAGCAGCAGAGACTATATCTGCAGTTTTTCTTAGTTACCCTCTTGTGCCAAGAAGAGACCAGAAGCCCAAAGGAAGGACTAAAACCAGCTCCATCCTAATCCCCTTTGGAAAACTCAGGCCTAAAGCCATTCTAGAGAATGCCTTTCACAACTTCCTGGGAACTAGAAAGATGCTTTTCTGACACGATACAATGCCAGTCATGATCAGCAAAGTTAAATGAGGTCAAGTCCACAGTGTGGAAAGCACAAAACCAATCTATAGAACAACAGAAGTTGGGGTGAAGAGTGATGCCACTGGCTGCAGCTATGGCCAAGTGACTTGCTATCATACGGTACTGCCTGCTAGAGCCTATATAACGTGATGCCTGGCGGCCCATGGTGACATCTGACAGCATGCTATTCTGCCCAGCCGTCTTATGTGTTACCAGAAACCACACCGAAAATATTATTCAAAGGAGACTAAGGTGCACGCTCATCAGGACGCCTGTGTGCATAAAGCACGTGTGTGGTTGCTTAGCTCATTTACTGACTCTAGTGTTGGAAATAGTTCCAGATCCACTCACCTGAAGAATGAAGGCTGCTCTTCTAAAACAAAAGCGGTGTAAAGAAGAAACACAAGTTATTTCCTTTATTCAATACAAAGATTTAGATACTAAACAGTAAACTCTCTAATACTGCAAAAGCTACATTTCAGAAAATATTATCTTTTCCTCTTTAAATAATCAGATGTTTCTCCCCAGTAGTATATTTTAAAGATTTCCACAGTGCTAAGAGTTTAGAAATGGTTAACCAATTTACAATCGTGTGTGTAAAATGAAAATTTCTCAAGGGAGCTAAATTTTTTAAGATTTACTTACTGTGGTTATAGATGTGAGAAGTCGCTTTGGAGTAATAGCCTAGAAGAAAAGGTAACAGTATATTTACTGCTAAACATTATGATTCAGAGCTTAAAACTAACCAACCTTGAGATACTCCCACATAGAAAATAATTCTTAAATGTGAATACATTTATACTTGAGTCCTCTATTAAGGCTTTCTCCATACTGTCATTCCTGTTTTCGTTGGAGCTAAAGTAAAATTCTTCTAAGTGATGTTAGAAAAAGCACTAAAGACCAAAGACTGGGAAGGCTAAATACCACCCTACAAGTTCTCACGGCTTATGCCCGCACAAGTACTGGTGAACTGAGAACTTGGTGAGGCAAGAGCTCAGGGAAAAGGCTTGAGAAACATTTACACAGGATATGAAAGCTGGCTGTCAAATAAATGTAGAGAAATTAAAAACTGATATATGTATTATCTCTGATGATCCTTTTCCTGGGTTTTTCCTTCTCACCTTGGACTTGAGTGCCTTTTTCTTCTTATCAGGGCCTGAGAGTTCTTTCTTTTGTACCTACACACAAACCCAAAGCATAATTAGTTTAAGATCTAATATGTCTAAGAAAAACATAATATTGGTTATTTTACAAAGCTTTCACTGCTTACCAAGCTGTAAACTTCAATATTTATTTCAAAGTCATTGGACACATCTTGCCTGGGAAGATAAATCATTAAATAAAACTGTAAGGAAAACACACACTTATGCCATTAAAAATGATGCCACTAATATTGTTACATGATCCCGAGAGTAAAGGAATTCACAGTGTTTTTAACTACAGGCAGTAGTTACAAACCCTTAAAGAACATAAAAATTGGTAAGAAAAGTCTACTTTTACTATAATACAAGTCAAATAGTTTCTTCAGTATTTTACAATTCAAGGTCTTTAATAAACAATTTTTTTCTAGCTGGATTTTGACTCTGTATTTTCAAAATAAATTTGTGACACTAAATACATCTTTTCACCGAGGTGGAATATTAAGTACATTATAAGATTTAAAGCACATAAATAAAATATTAAGGTCTAGATCTTATACATATGTTTATATTTACTTATTTTTTTTTTATTTTTGAGACAGAGAGAGAGAGAGAGAGAGAGAGAGTGAGTAGAGGAGGGGCAGAGGGAGGGAGACACAGAATCCAAAGCAGGCTCTAAGATCCAAGCTGTCTGCACAGAGCCCAGCATGGGGCCCGAACTCGTGAACTGTGAGATCATGACCTGAGCTCAAGTCAGATGCTCAGCTGACTGAGCCACCCAGGTGCCCCTGTATGTATTAATTTATACAATATATAATATAGGCCTTAATTATATTATGCATGTATTTATGTTTTATGTATATGTCAAAACATTAAATACATATATTCACATGGACGAAATGTGCTACACAATGGAAAGAAATATCAGAAACATGTAAAAGATTTAAACCAACAAATTGAAACAGTTATTTGTCCACATGAGAATGAACATACTGTATTTCAAAGACTATACATTCCATCTGTACTAACTCCATTAAAAGAAAATGTGTTTGAACCAGCAAAAGCATAATTTACTTACAGAGTAAATGTAGTAGGGAATGTCAGAGCATCACCATTAAGAGAATTTGAAGTACATGCTAATGGTGTGGCTACCATATTTTCAGCTCCTGCTTTTAGTATAATTAAGAAATAGTAATTTGCTGCATCTGCAAAAGGTAATCACATTACACAATAAGCACAAGCAAAATCAGATTTAGCTAATCAGCATTCTGGAAAACCAAAGGAATAAAGTAATACTGTGACTAATTTATATAATGTATGTAAAAATTACTAAAATCAACTTTCTAGACACAAAAAGCTAAGTAAGACATATAAGCAGTCATAATCATCATCAATAAGCATCAGGCAAGATCTCTTCCTATTATTTATGTGAACTGAAATAATGCCACTCCATAATCCCTCAATTTCTGCTGACTTCGTATTTTACCTATTGACTAATTCTTTAGCTGACAGTATATTCCTCAAAAAGAAAATTAGGGTGTATTATTGCAAAAATAAAATACTACATTTCTGTGAAAGTTACTTAGAGATAAATTCTAATAAAAACATAAACTGTTCCTTCACTATCTGTCATTGAATACCCACATATTCAAGGTACATACTATGTTACCAATAGATTTCTTCCACACCACATCCAAATCAGACAACAGCAATAATCAGAACCTAAGTCACCTCCTCCCTACAATGATGCTTCAACTTTTAAAGATCTCCATTCTTTCTTTTCCCTGTACCTCAAATTCGCTTCTCACCTATGTCTAGCCCTCCTTTCCCTCAGAGAAAGGTCCATGCAAATGAAGATTTAAAGGAATCTTAAAATAACTTCACCAAAATTTAATGAAACTTTATTAAGCTTGCTATAATTACCCTGCCCTGTTTTCAGATCCTGGTGCCATACTCTCCTTTACCCACGTTGCTATGATTTTTCGTAGAATACATGTTTATACTTATTCAATCTATAGTGACAAAGGCGATACAATTTCAATGGAACCATCTTCACTGTGGTGGTGATCTTCACCTCTTGAACCAATCATTCAAGATTTGGGGGATGGGTTTAAAACAGAAAAGAATAAGTAAAATAGGTTCTCTTAGATGTCCCCATACTTCCACAAATTAAATAATGAAAGTTGAATGATCTGCCGTGTCAAGATCATCTCATCTTAGGAAATGCTTCATGCTCGAAGCTATGTTTAACCAGCCCTGCTTTCAGTTAGAGCCATGTCTGTCACCACGTGGATCAGCAACCACGTATGAAATCTTCCCTTGGTTATTTTTAATGCACAGATCTTCCATCAAAGAACTAAAGGCCCAAGATACAAGCTGCACATTCTTTTGCATGCTCTACTTGCTCACATTTGCATCATTCCTGCCTAGGTAAGTTCATAATTTAACAAAGGATCTAGAAGCGGTGAAAATAAAAATCACCATACCTGGTTTCTGAACTGTACCACAGACAAAATCTGCTTTTAGAGGCAAGCGGATTTCTGACAAAGTAACTGATCCCTTGGATGCGACAAATTCACTTGGGGATATGGGACCAGCCTTGTTCTTCCTTTGGGGCCCTTCGTTCTTCAATTTATTCAACTCATCAATCAAGAGTGTTCTCTTCTCAGCTATGTAAAAATATGCAATGTCACAAATATTAAAACTGCATCTGTCTCTAAATGAGACCAATTCAAGAAAATGCACCGATGCGGCAAATGTACGTAAGATCAAAGACAAGATCAGTACTTCTTTGTACAAGCAGGTGGTGGGTGGTTGGGTAAAACCTTGACTGCTCATCCGTTTACCAAATCTTTATAATTTAATGCTTGAACTTGCAGCCAGTTTTCTTGTATGGTATAATCTCTCCACCCTAACATGCCCTGTCATCTGCCACTACACATACACCACAAAGTTCACAGACTTTTTTAGCTACATGTAGATAGCCAGGTGCGGAGACAAGTGAGAGAGAGAGAGAGAGAGAGAGAGACATTCATATATTCATTTTTCGCATACTTCAAAACTGCATTTCTTCAACTGCATTCCAATTCTTTTCACCTTTCATGCAAACTACATTTTATTTTACATGTAGAGTATTCACAAATGTTGTAAGAAACAAACAAACAGAAACACAGATCAACTAAAACAGAAAAAGCCCTTTCTTTAAAATAGAGATTTCTAACTATCCTGGACAAAATAAGTCTTTCCTGATTTGGAATTCTGTTGGAATGGTTTCAGGTGTATCACACGTACTAGCAATGAGGAGAAGTCTTTCTGCTTCAGCTTCTTCTAGTGACCCTTTTCCGTGATCTTCATCAACACAGCAGTTAAGAGCCTGGCTGGCTTGATAGATTACTGTCTGCTGCAAATTTATTTCATTATTGAGTTCCTAGGGAAACCAATGAAACGAGAAAAAGAACTCACATTTTTTTTATCACCATTTTCACTTTATTTAAAACTTCAGTTGTAACGAATCCTGTTGGATAATTTCCAAAATATCCAGAGAGTGAAGTCAAAATGAAATTGTTTCACTGTTCAAGTGTCTGGACTATGCACCAAAAACATTCAACACGCTATAAAAATTACACTATAAACATTCTTATGAAAAGACTTTCAACTCATACTGAATAAAAATTATACTCGGGGCTATGTTCGACAAAGTAAAGATGTAGAAATTATCTGATTCATTTTATTTAAATTACATGTATGTTGTACATGACTTCCTTAGCATCAAAGAACCTCTAAGAGCAAAATGAAAGTTATACTTTAAGGATATTTATGACAAACGTGTTTAAATGTTTCAGCTATATCAAACAAGCTTCCAACCTGTCCAACAAAGAGGACCTTTCTCAAGTTACAATGAATTCAAGAGTGATTTACTGAGCTCCAGTGTGTCAGACACTGTTCTACTCACTCAGGGTATGGAGATGAATAAGGCTGGGCCCTTGTCCTTAAGAAGTGTACGATCTAGTACAGAAAACATTCCAAGTCTCCTTTCCACAGAAGTACATACCTGCATTTTCTGTTTGATGTTCACTTGACCAGGAAAGGCATTCTTTTTCTCATCCAACTTCGAAGTAACATCTTCCTTCCGAACAATCACTTGCTTTATTGAAGGACGTTCTGTTTCTTTGAATCTTTGAGATCTGTACGCATCAATGCTTCAGGAAATAAGGTATACTCTTAGAAATCCAGCAACACGTTGAGCACTCTCTTTTAGTGAACATGTGGAAAATGCCATTTGGTAAAAGAGAGGCTGACAAAAGTCATTCCAAAGTTTTATACAGGTGAATTATTAATAACATTATAAGTTATAAATCTAAACTATGACCCTTAGTGAGTGAATGCCTTTTGAAAACATGCTTACCTATAAAGAAGATCACGATCTTCAGAACCAATGCTATCACCTGACTCAGCTCGAGGAACACGGGTTCTTTGGAATTTCCCTGGCTTTGGACTTTCATCACTTACGCTGGAATCTTTCAATTCCAATCGAGGTGAGGAAACTAAACTCTGCAATGAAGCACATCAGGTATTAGTAGATTTTATGGATGACACTGATTCTAAGTGATAACTCTGAGGAATTGAATAAATGCTCTATTATTAGGAAATGAAGATCCAATAAGTCAGCTGATTTATGATGCATCATAAAAACAAAGGCAAACTAAAAAATAAGTTCCCTAAATAGTAAATGAATAAAAGTTCAAAGACAGCTAAAACCTGCACTTATAACTCTCTTAAAAACTTTTTCTAATTCAATCAATTTCTCAAACTGTAGCTATTCAATTTAGGGTGATAGCTAAAAACAATAGTTGGCTCCCAATAAATGTTATTTGTCTGTCTGGTGCTATGTACTAATATACTAGTGATTTAATATTCACATTAACCCCATGATATAGGCACTACTTTTAACCTCACTTAACAGGTGAGGGAACTGTGGCAAAGAGGTTAAATAACCCGGCCAATAAACAGCCAATGGCAGAGCCAGGATTTGAGCCCAAATGTCTGACCTTGTAAACCATGTCACAGTTTGCATTTTATCCAGGGTCACAGGAAACCACTGAAGCATTTTAAGCTCTCTTTTATGAGAACTGACATCAGAGTTCCAGCATCCCCCTGGCTACAGAGTGCCAAATCCCCATGTACCAACTCAAACAAAAGGGGATCTCGAGGGGCGCCTGGGTGGCGCAGTCAGTTAAGCGTCCGACTTCAGCCAGGTCACGATCTCGCACTCCGTGAGTTCGAGCCCCGCGTCAGGCTCTGGGCTGATGGCTCAGAGCCTGGAGCCTGTTTCCGATTCTGTGTCTCCATCTCTCTCTGCCCCTCCCCCGTTCATGCTCTGTCTCTCTCTGTCCCAAAAATAAATAAACGTTAAAAAAAAAAAAAGTTTTAAAAAAAAAAGGGGGATCTCGTGATTGCTGTTTCTTTGTGTCCCGGGCCTGTTGACATTTAATCTTTTCTTACCTCCGGACTTACCACACCAACGGTCTGTGCTAACGGAGCAAGCAAAGACATGGAGGAGATGTTCAGTGCATCTTCCTGTTCTTCAGCGCTCTCTGCTTCTGCGTGGTCCATCTCCTCTTGGCTCTTTTCCATGTCCAGCTCACCTTCCACCAGGACATCACTGAAGATGTCATTAATTACTTTTGAACTATTGATACCATCGTCATCATCCACACTCATCTCAGTTTCACGTACCACTTCTGAAAAAGATTTCAGGAGGTGATTCTGTGACTCAGACCTTTAAGAATTAAAGGGATAGCAGAGCAGACCTAACGTTCACGTGCTTACTAAATAAACAGCAAAGCAGTGAAAGTTGGAACTGTCAAAAGCTGACTAAACACCTTGGATTTAAGAAAGAATATTAACTAAGAATGCGAACGACAAGATAATAGCCAGAAACTTCAGACTTACAAAAAAATGTTCTTTCGAGTAACTCTTTTTGTTTTTTGGGGAATGCCTTTTCACATGGCTGTCAATAATAGGAAAATATTAACAGCACTTAAGGCAGGGTTCCCAAATAACCTTCAAGAACCACTAACCTCCCTAACAGTATATAAAGAGTGTGGAAGGGCAATACATTTCCTTTCCCTATGAAAGTGAGTGATAGCTTTAATCAGATTTTCACAGGGATCTGTGACCTAAGATAACTGTTAACAGTGCTATCTCTTTGTGGAAGTAGAATATTTCCTAGTGAAAAAAAGAGAGAAGGGTGCCTAGGTGGCTCAGCCGGTTAAGTGTCCGACTTCAGCTCAGGTCATAAACTCATGGTTTGTGAGTTCAAGCCCCATGTTGGGCTCTATGCTGACAGCTCAGAGCCTGGAGCCTACTTTGGATTCTGTGTCTCCGCCCCCCCGCCCCCCCTCCCGCCTCATTCTCTCCCTCTCTCTCTCTCAAAAATAAATAAAGACGTTAAAAATTTTTTAAAAGAGAGAGAAAGAGGAGCGCCTGGGTGGCTCAGTCGGTTAAGTGCCTGACTCTTGGTTTCAGCTCACGTCACGCATGATCCCACAGTTTCATGGGTTTGAGCCCCACATCTCTGCACTGGCAGCACAGAGCCTGCTTGGGATTCTCCCTCTCTCTCCGCCCCTCCCCTGCTCACTCTGTCTCTGTCTCTCTCAAAATAAATAAGCTTAAAAATATTCTTTAAAAAAAGAGAATATTACAGAATCATGAGACATTTTGAAATATAGAATATTATATATTTGAATATGTGCTTCTACCAATATATTATATCTTATAGTGAGTTCAGAATTAATAGGAAATAAAGCATAAAAACCAACCAGTCTGCTGCTCAACCTTTGGGTCTGATGTTACTTTTAAAGACTTATCCTCTTCTAAAAATAATGTGATTTTCAAAGGGCTAGACTTCGTCATTTTACGTTCAGTGAAACCTAAAAAAAAATTTTAAGAAAAACCATATTACTATATGTAGGAACCTAGAATTTTTCAGTTAAGATATGTTTTGTATTCTTTTTTCTGATCATAAAACTATGCATTTCAGATCTAAAAATGTATAGAGAATCCCCCAAGACAACTGTCCTCTCTTAACGTTCCCGTCTCTCTTCCTCCCCAACAAGAGAAAGGGGACACCAATATTACCAGGCTATTTGTCCTTCCAATTCCCCTGTATGTATGCAAATGTTATATCCTTTTGTTTTATCAGAAGGTCGTCATACTATGCATGCATTTTATTTTTCACTTTTTAGAAAAAAGTGTCAATAAGAACACTTCATAAGCTAGCAATAGAAGGAAACTGAAACTACCTCAACAGAATATAGGCCACAAATGAAAAGCCACTGGCTAACATGATACTCAGTAGTGAAAAACCAAAAGCTTTTCCTTTAAGATAATGAACAAGACAAGGATGCCCACTCTCACCACTTCTATTCAGCATAGCTTTGGAAGTCCTAGTCAGAGAAAATATGCACGAAAAAGAAATAAAAAGCATCAAGATTTGAAAAGGAGAAGTAAAATTACCTCTGTTTATAGATAGTATGATATTATATGTAGAAAACACTATAAACATTCCACAAAAAATCCCGTTAGAATAAGCAAATTAAGCAAAGATGTAGAATATAAAATCAACTTGCATTTCTGAACACTAACAAAAAAAAATCTGAAAGGGAAATTGAGAAAACAATCCCATTTACAACAGCATCAAAAAGAATAAAATACTTAGGAAAAAACCTAACCAAGGAGGTTACATAATTGTCCACTGAAAGCTGCAAAACATTGCTTAAAAACATTAAATAAGGCACAAATAGCTGGAAAGACACCCCATGATCATGGATTGGAAGACTTAATAGTGTCAAGATGTCAATAGTACTGAAAGCAATCTACAGATTCAATGCATTCTCATCAAAATCCCAGTAGCATTTTTTAGAGAAACAGAAAAGTCCATCCTAAAATTCGTATGGAGCTTCAATTCAATAAATCTTGAATATACAAAATACCTTTGAAAAAGAACAAAATTAGAAGACTGACGTATCCAGATTTCAAAACATATTACAAAACTATAGTAATCAAAACAGTATGGCACAAACACAGACCAAGGGAACAAGAGAGCCACAAAAGAAAACCTCACATGTATGGTCAAATGATTTTTGACAATGCTGCCAAGATGATTTAGTGAGGAAAGGACAGTCTCTTCAACAAATGAGGCTGGGAAAACTGGATATGCACATGCAAAAAATGAAGTTAGAACCTTATCTGATACCATATACAAAATTATCTCACAATGGATTAAACACTTAATTGTAAGACTCAAAACCATAAAGCTCCTAAACATAGGAAAACATCCATGACAATGGATTTGTCAGTTTCTTGGGTGTGACACCAAAAGCACAGGCCACAAAAGCACAAGCAGACAAATGGGCCTACATCAAATTTAAAAACTTTTGTGCATCAAAGGATACATTCAACAGAGTTGAAAAGTCAACCTACAGAATGGGGGAAGATATTTGTAAATTGTGTATCTGATAAGAGGTTAATATATGGAATATATAACTATAACTCAACAACAAAAATAAAATACCCTGATTAGAAAATGAGCAAAGAACATGAACAGACATTTCTCCAAAGATGATATACAAATAGCCAACAAGCATATGAAAAGATGCTCAACACCACTAATTATAAAAGAAATGGAAATCAAAATCACAATGAGCTATCACCTCACACCCTAAAGGATGGCTACTATAAAAAAACAAAACAAAAAAACAAAACAAAAAAACAGAAAATAACAAGTGTTGGCAAGGATGCGGGAAAATTGGAATCCTTATGCAGTGTTGGTAAGATTGTAAAATGGTGTGACTGCCACAGAAAATAGTATAATTATTCCTCAAAATACTTAAAATAGATCCACTATATGATCTAGCAATCCCACTTCTGGGTATATATCAAAAGAATTCCAAGCAGAGTTTCAAGGAGAAATTTGCATACCCAGCACTACTCACGATAACCAAGAGATAGAAGTGACCAAAATACCCATTGATAGACAATGGATAAACAAAATGTACATATACACAACGGAGTACTATTCAGCCTTAAAAAGGAAGGAAATGCTGTCACAAGTTACAACATGGATAAACCTTGAGGACATTAAGCTAAATTAAATAAGCTAGTTACAAAAAGAAAAATACTATATGATTCCACTTATAGGACGTTTCTAAAGTAGTCAAACTCATAGAGACAGAAAGCAGAATTGTGGCTACCGAGGGCTGCAGAGAGGAAGAAACGGAGAGTGGCTGTTTAATGGGTACAGTTTCAGTTCTACAAGATGAAAAGGTTCTGGAGATCTGTTCTGCAACGATGTGAATATACTTAAAACTACTACTACTTAAAAACTGTTAGGATGGTGAATTTTAGTAATGTGTTTTTCACCAGACTTAAAAAAAAAAAACTAAAATGTTTAAGTGTCTCTGACATATTAAATGTCATTACATACAAAGCTATCTTATTCTTTTAAGCAGCTACATATTTGAGGACATGGATTTAGCATAATTTATTTAAACAGTTTTCTACTGATGGACATTGAGGTCATTTACACCTTATTACTAACAGTGCTACAATTCATCTCTTTGTATATACATCTTTGCACACTAGTTTTAAGAAGTCAACTTGTAGAAACACTTGTAGAGGAGCTAAATTAAAGAGCATGCACACTTTACAATTCAACAGATATTACTGAATCTTTCTCAAAAAAAAACAAAAAAACAAAAAAAACAGAGTGGTAGTAATTTATCCTCCCATCAAGAGCATGAGTCCTGAGTCTGGAAAGAGAACTATGGAAGAAGCATATTGCATGGCTGAACATTAAAGAATGAGTAGAAATAAAGACATTAATCTATCTTTTTACATTGAAGCAGTATTTCCGCTTTCCAATGCAATTTCCAAAACTCCAGTAGACTGAAAGCTACATATAAGTGGAGCAGAAGTGGAAAATGCTGACCTGTAGGTTCTGTGCTGGAAGGTTTTCCTGGTGTTTGATTTTCTGTCACCTTTTCCGTTACTGGAAGCGATGGGGTATTTGAAACAGCTTGGTGTTTTTTGAGGGGAGTGTTCTGACAGTGAATTTCCTGCAGAAAGGAAATGAAGATTTTATTTCTCAAAACTATAGATTTTTTTGTCTATTTTTACATGTTATTAAATGAAACAAACACAAATCATTCTTTTATATAAGCTTCCTCAGAACAAAACAATGTATGTGAAAGGTCCCAGTCATGTTTAGATCACAAGAAGCCCTCAGTGCTGGTTCATTATTCTTGGTAATTCCCAGGACGTACAACTTTTAACAGACTAGGAGGCAGGAATGAAAATTCACATCAGAGTAGTTTTAGATAAACTGATTTAAGTGAAATCCACACAGAGAAAAGTAATTCCCCATATGTCACTTATCTCCTCCCACACCTATAAAATCTACTGACAGTTCCTGCATCAGGATTCCCCTAAATGGTTACTCAGGAGTAAAAGGCCAAGAAAACAAAGAACCAAAAACAGATCTGAAAAGAAGGAAAGAAAAAGAAAAAACAGGAAATCCCTCTGAGTCTTTTTTTAATCATTTATAAAGGCAATGGAAGAGAAACATTCATTGTTTCAGAAAAGGCTTTATGATTAAAGCAATAGTAGAAATAATCAAGTAAGAATAAGAATAACAGCAACTAATGCTTAGTAGAGCCTCATTTGTGCCAGTCACCTTTCCAAGTACTTGGCATTGCCTCCCTGAGTCCTCCCAATAACCCTGTAAGTTAGGTGCTACTACCTCCATTTTACAGATGAGAAGACGGAGACACAGACGAGTTCAGCAACTTGCACACTCGGCTAGTAACTGGCAGGGCCAGTTTACAAACCTACACATTCTTATTCCCGATGTAATTTCAGACCGTGTTGTCTCTCGAATTAGAAGAAACTTTTGATGCACGAACACAGGGTAAACTATCGAATGCTGTGCTGCAGACCTGGCTCTCTTGTGAAGGCAGGACTTCCCTACAATATTCTGTAATATAGGTGGTTCTCTCCCCTAGACCCTGACGGCATGAGGGACAGCCCCTCTCCAGTCTCTAACACTAATTCCAAGCTCTCAGTAATCCTCTCCTCCTGCCCCTGCTCCTCTAGGCTCACGCCCCCTGGTTACACTGCACTCACCATCCCGCCTCTCCAGTCCAACACCTGCCATCACCTGGGTGATCTCAGTAGCCTCTTACAAAAAAAAAAAAATTGTAAGCAGCAAGAGATAACTCTTTTACAAAAGTCCGAATGAAAAGGAGGCAAAGAAAGGGGGGGTAAACAGGGGTCAGGAGAGTAGTTTTGGTTTTAAGATAACAGATAACAGCTTGCTATATGCGGATGGGAAGCATTAGCACATTCCTTCCTTCCTTCTTTCAAGGACAAATTTATTGAGCCCCTACTGTGATCCAAGCACTAAAAACAAAGATAAAGATGGATAAGGTCCTTGTGGACAGTGGTGGAAAGCAAAGGTAGAACAATTACAGGAAGATAAGTATTCCAGTCGAGGTAAATACAGGATGACATGGTGAAAAAAAAGAGGGGCCACTTAGGAAAAGGGCCAAGCAAAGATTTCCAGAGGGGACTAGAGTTTGACCTATTCCTAATGAAGTAGGAGCTCACCACAGAGATACTCTGTGTGGACAGAACAGCAAGGCAAAGGCCAAGAGATCTGAAAACGTGGATACATTTGAGAAACTGCAAATAGTCTACATGACAGGACTGAAGCACACATGTGGAGGAGCAGTGAGGAGCCAGATTCTGAATGATTCTGGATGTCAAGCCAAGCACTTGAGACATTTTCTGATGATAGCTATGGAAAACTTTCCAGGATTTTAAGGAAGTGAATACACAAATATCTGCTTTATAAGACTATTTCCCTGGCAGCAGTGGGTAAGGTGGACAGGAAAACAGCCAGACTAGAAGCAGGGTTTTCAATACAAAGTTCTGGAAGTGATTAAGGTAACGGCAGAGGAAAACAGAGAGGACAGGCAGCTTGTGACATATTTTGAAAACATCCAATGATGTGTACGTGTTTGTGTGTGTGTGTGTGTGTGTGTGCATGCTAGGGGAAGATATAGTAATAAGAGGAGGTGGGAAGACACAGTAATAAAAGGAAGGAGCCAAGGAAGAACTCCCATACTGTTTTAGCTGATGAGGTATAGAACAAAGACCTAGGTGAAAACAGAGACTCCGTGGAGAATATACTTCTGCGAAGCAGAGAGAAATCCACTAGCTAGCCAGGACAGGAGTTCAGGAGAGAGGTGAACACAGCATAGCTAAGCACCTTAGCATTTGTGTGCTTGGCTGAAGCTAAACATGAGGACAGAGAAGAGAAGCCCCAGGGCAAATGAGGAGAAAACAGGGTTAGGTCAGAACCCTGGGAAACATGATTTGTTAATCAAGAGAACTAGTAAAACAAAATCAATTAAATAGATCTTTGTCAAAGTATACTGGTTAAATGTATAGTTCTATTTCTACTGGTACCCACTTTAAATATAATTCTATTATTTTTAGCTGAAAAGTATATCCTAATACAGTATTTTGTACAAGTAGGCATGTAAATGAAGCAGAAAATAATTTACACGAAGGGACTTGGTTGAAGGCTGATTAATGAAATTTGACAGTAGGTAATATAGGAATAAACAGAAATTTGGGACATAATTGGTGACTGAAAAGGATTATGGATAGTCTGAAAGTGTGGTATGTGGGGAGGGTATACAATCAGTACTAAAATAAGTAGATTCTGAGAAACACTTTAGAACCAGCATGTAAGTAGAATATTAAAAGAAATGTGAAATAAATTGAATGATGAGAAGTTTTAAAATTTGATTTTAGGTAGGTCATCAGTGAATACGTTAAGAGTTCCACTGAATGGGAAAACATCACAAGAGAAAAGCAGAGTTGGAATGCATGCTGAAGGAGTTTATGAGTGGAAAGTGGCACAGTAAATTGGGACGGGATAAAGAAGTGTTTTACAACCAAACAGAACCAAGTTAGATCCCAGCACTGCTTTGGTGCCAGGTTCACTTTCATATTTCTTGTTTACACCACCTGTTTGGTTTCTAGTTGTTTGCTTCTCGAGCTTTCGCCTTTTTCTGCACTCCATAAATTGCCTTTGTCAAATCGGCCACGAAGACATGCTAGTTCTTTCTCACGTTCCTAAAACAATCAAAAGCTCTATTTGATACGAGAGCAATAGTATGTTTAAGAATAATATACAAACATTACTAAACTTTGCTTGTCTTCAGTTTTAAGGGTAAAAATTCACAATATTCATGGAATACAAGACAAAGTATTTCTAACTTGAAATAAGTGATACAAAGAATCACGATGCTATTTATCTCAGTCAAAAGACTGGTATCAGAATTCATAATTGGATTTCTAGGTCCTATGTCGAGACCACATGATGAATAGTGTTAAAAGCAGTAAGCCAGACCTGCTTGAGCTGTTGTGCCAAATGAGTAGTAGATGAAGATGTGTTTTGCTTGAATAATCTTTCTTGGATGGCCCTTGTAGTTGGAGTGATAATGGGGGTTCTTTGGGGTGTGCTCCGAGCAGGACTTTGTTTGCTGTGTTCTTGACAACGCTCTCCAAAGCGCTCCAGGAAAGGCTTAATTCCTGCTCCTCCTACAGAAAACACACACATTTTGGAGGCCATTTAGAAGAAATAACAATTATCATGTCTATTGAAAAAGTTCTAAAATCCAGTAATGGCTCTAAAATGCTTTCATTCTATTTAGAATACTCATTGGGAAAGTAAACAGTAGGAAAATAGCTTTAAAAAAGAAATTTACCATACTATTCTATTTAATTCAAAGTCCTAAAATTTATAAGATTTTGTTCCTTAAAAAAGAAAGAAGAATTAAAAAAATTTTAAAAGATAGAGTGATGGGGCGCTCTGGTAGATTGGGTGGCTCAGTGGGTTGAGCGTACTCTCAAAAAAAAAAGGGGGGGGGTAGAATAAGAGAGCAGTGGGAGTTAGAAAACCTTTCAACTACATAATCAGAACTGGAAATACTCCTAAAGGATTGGAGATTCACAGTGTGTTTATTAATAGCACTCCCTGACCACCAAGTGCCCGAGCCATGATCACCCAACTACTTATATTTCTATAGCCCAATGTATTTCATCTTGCTTTTAGCAAGTCTAATATACTAAAATCCAGGGATTAAATCCTTCTCTCCCAAAAGAAAAATTAGAGATCATTCACTTTATCAAGGGATGTCTTCAATCTATAAAGTCTTAAACCAGTATTCCTTTGAAATAATATGAAGTACATTTAAAGTAGAACAAATGAGGGGCGCCTGGGTGGCTCAGTCGGTTGAGCGTCTGACTTCAGCTCAGGTCATGATCTCATGGTCCGTGAGTTCGAGCCCCACATCGGTCTCTATGCTGACAGACCTGACCCTGGAGCCTGCTTCGGATTCTATGTCTCCCTCTCTGTTGGCCCCTCCCCCGCTTGTGCTCTGTCTCTCTCTCTCTCAAAAATAAATGTTAAAAAAAAAAAATTTAAAGTAGAACAAATGGGGGGTGCCTGGGTGGCTAAGTTGGTTGAGCATCTGACTTTGGCTCAAGGTTCATGAGTTCAAGCCCCACATAGGGCTCTCTGCTATCAGCAGGCCCTCTGCTGTCAGCATAACCCACTTTGGATCCTCTGTCCCACTTTTCTCTGCCCCTCCCCCACTTAATCTCTCTCTCTTTCTCTCTCTCTCTCCCCCCCACTCTCAAAATAAATAAATAAACTTTAAAAAAGAAAAGTAGAACAAATGGGATATATACCACCCCCATCATGAAGATGATAGGGTTGTACTATATGAAAAGAGGCTTATCTCTATCAGAAATCAGCATTTTCCTACAAAAGGCCAGATAGTAAATATTTTGGGCTTTGCAGGCCCATTTGGCCACTGTCATAACTACTCGACTCTGCACTGAAGCATGAAAGCAGCCACAAACAACATGTAAATAAATGGGCATGGCTATGTTCCAATAAAACTTTATTTGCAAAAACAGGTAAAGGGCACAATTTGACCCAAGACTCCACATGTCACTTCACACCATTATCTCTAACTAAAATCCACTAAGAATAGGTGTGCCTGGGTGGCTTAAGCATCTGACTTCGGCTCGGGTCATGATCTCGTGGCTCGTGAGTTTGAGCCCTGAGTCAGGCTCTGTGCTGACAGCTCAGAGCCTAAAGCCTGCTTCAGATTCTGTGTCTCCCTCTCTCTCTGCCCTCCCCTGCTCATGCGCGTGTGCACGCGCTCTCTTTCTCATTCTCTCTGTCAAAACAAATAAACATTAAAAAAAACCATTTTAAACAAAATCCACTAAGAAGACAAAGAAACATGTAAATTAAATATCTCTGAGGCCTGATAATAAATTCTGGGCATATCCAATAGCCAAGAATAATAATAATAATAATAAAAAGGCTTCTTATCTATGCCATAAGTCTTCAGAAAATTGGGGATAACTAGTTCTATTCCATGTGGGGATTTTGCTATTGCTTCAAATTCTCATTTCAGCTCCTCTGGAAACTGACTACTGCTTTCCTAGCCCATAACTAATGGATTCCCACTGTTATCTCTCTCTACTTCTCTTTTATAATGAACTACTGTTTCCGAGACATTGTATTTTTAAGAAGTTAAAATTTTGAACTGAAAGTCTTTCCAAAAGCAATTCTAATGAAAAAGAATATTGTTCAAAGTAAAGTATATCTCTATATATTTGAACCACGCTTTTTAGTCCTGGGTTTCTCAACCAACAGCATGTGGGGGTATGCCAGAAGGTTTAAGCCCCCACAAGATAAATACGGATTTCTAGGAACATCAATTTACTATAGGGAATTTCGAACTTTCACATGTATATACTCACATACAATATAACCACATACAAATATAATTAGGAGTGGAGTCATTTGTATACAACTCATTTTCCTTTGCTATCAGGGGTGCCTTCATATTTAAGTTTGGAAAGCATTGCTCTGCACACTTGGTTTTAAGAACGTTTCTCCATTATGCCCTTAAAATGTGATTTCCAGTTCTATACGCTTTGTCTCCATCAAAAAGTATGGAAGAAAGAAACTACATGGTCATTCTAGAAAAAAACCATGTTTAAGTTGTTAAAATGTAACAAGTTACATACTTTGACCAGTAACTGGACAAGTCTACACTAATGAATATTCATTCAATGAGTTAGAGCTGGATTTGAAGAAGTTCCATTTTATACATTCAGACACTTGCCATGGCAAACCACAAACATACAATTCATGACTGGACACCTAAAACGCTGAGAACAGACATTCTGAAAACAGTCAGCAGTAACTAGATTTTTAAAAAGATACATAACCTGGTGTTGCAGATTTGTCTTTAGATTGAGACTGCCGACATACTTCTCTATTTAATTCTTCTTTGGGCCCAACTGTCTGGGACACGGTTGACTTCCCAGTTGGTTTCGGTACCTCTGTTTTCAGGAGACTAACAGGAGTTTTCTGAAGTAGCTCAGGATTTTGTACCTCACAATTTTTAACATCAGCAAGGGATACAGTAGAAGATTTCACTGGGGAAGAAGCAGCTTTCTGAAACATGATAACACTTAGGGTAAATAACAATATTCATAATATCTAAAGGTAGACTTAAAACAAGTTAAATTTTATTTGCTTAGTAGCCTTTAAGTAAACTTATGAAAAACAATTTTTCCCCCTAATAGATCAAACCATTTTGAAAGGCTTGACAAAAAATCAACTTAGAAAATGCTTACTATTTGGGGTGCCTGGATGGCTCAGCCAGTTAAATGACTCTTGATTTCAGCTCAGGTCATGATCTCACAGTTCGTGAGTTCGAGCCCCAAGTCAGTCTCCGTGCCAACAGTGCAGAGCCTGCTTGGGATTCTCTCTCCCTCTCTCTCTGCCTCTCCCCTTCTTATGCTCTCTCTTTCTCTCAAAACATGTAAAAAGAACTTAAAAAAGGAGAAAATGGTACTCTTTAAATTATAATATATAATTTAGTCTGCATAATATATTGAGGAGTAATTTCATGTAAGGGATAGGGTCACTCCCTATTTTAAAAACCAATTTCTTTTATATTATCTCACTAGCACCTTTATAAATGTTAAGCATATTAGAGCACATTGCATATTTTTGGTATTCTAATTAAGTCAGTATTAATTTAACAAAATCATATGTATTTGATGGCTAACTATAACATATTAAGTGCTTTATGCGAAGCACTTTGCTGTGGGTTTTATACACATTGTCTCATTTAATCTTCCCAATAACCCTTTCTTTCCCATTTTACAGATGGGAAAATAAGGTTTTACAAGATTAATGTCTAAAGCCACATTTTCAATTACGTGGCAGAGCTTGGGTTGAATGCAACTCTATCAAATTCCCAAACCTGGCTCTACATTTAAAACAATGCACAGAAACATACTACTCTTTTGCTTTTCTGTTTTTTAAGATTGTTTTTGAAAGCTGTTGATGTAATTCATGTGCAAGGGAAAACTTTCAAACATTTCAAAAGAACATATGGTAAAATTATCATACCCACCCTTGACAATCTTGTTCAGCAAATGCCTTCGGAAGGCAACTTTAGCTACTAGTTTATTAAATGTCCCTTCAGAGAAATTTGATATCTTATATTTATACACATACATAAAGCATTCTGCAGAGAAAATAATTATCAGTTGCTCTCCCTGATGACTAAGAAGAGGCTCCATCATTCCATTATTATTATATACCTTGGAATTGTATGAACTTAGTGTAATTTAGTTGTCAATTACTAATTTATTTGGTATAGGCTACCAAATTTAGGATTTTTACTTTCTACACCCCCAATTTCTAAAAATACATACAAACACCATGTATATAAGATACATACCTACACACACATACACATTATCACTCATAACCAAAAAGAAAAGGTTTCCCAAGACTGATACTGCATGACTTACCACAGAGCTGGAAACTGTAGCATCATTCAAAGATGCACCCACGGCACTCGAGGACGGAGCTTTATTCAAAGAGGCCTCACCATCCCTTTGGGAACAGCATGCAGCTTCCTGCTTGACACTGCTGCTATTGATCCTAGCAGATGCTCCACTTGCAGAGGAAAATTTGGATAAACAAGTGGTACCAGGCTGTTCTTGTGCACTGTTTTGCTTTGCAGATGAGTAATTTACATCATCTTCCCACGAGCAAATAGTTGCGGCAAGGTTGGCCAGACGGCCCCTTCTACCAACTGGAGTTGCCGAGGCATCTGCAGGGGGTGGTTTGGGAGGCGAGGCAGCCCTTCCCTCTGATGGCATTGGTGACATGAGTGAGCTTTCGGGTATCTCATCTGAAAATGTTTTCAGAAAAAGAGTAAGACCCATGTTCAAGAGTGACGCATATGTGTAATCCCAGGATCGCTCCACTCAGAATTTTAAGAAGAGGTTCGTAGAGGGGTGCTTGGGTGGCTCAGTCAGTTAAGCATCTAACTTCGGCCCAGATCATGATCTCACTGTTGGTGAGTTTGAGCCCTGCATCAGGCTCTCTGCTGTCAGCACAGAGCCGGCTTCAGATCCTCTGTCCCCCTGCCCCCTGCCCCGTGTCCCTCCCCCATTTGCTTTCTCTCTCTCAAAAACAAATTTTAAAAAGTTTTAAAAAAATAAAGAAGTTAGTAGGTTTCAGAACTAATAAAAAGCTCTCGTATGCATGAAACTACAAGCTGCTTAAATTTGACAATACCTTATCAAGTCAGAGGATGCTTAATCCAAATTAAAACAAAAAGAAACCCACAAACTTCTTATACCTATTTTTTTCAATTTTTAATGGATCATGAATGCCCGAAGGTACTGTACATTTAGGTTATATTTTTAGAATTAAATCATTTTGTTACACTACTGCACAATTTAAGCTTACAGATGCCACAGGTACTTTTTGTTTTAAAAATGGAGTAAACCAGTGCTGTACAATCGAACTTCCTGCAATGATGGAGAAGTTCCATATCCATGCTATCTAGTAGAGTAATCAACCACTAGCCAGCCACATGTGGCTAGTGAGCACTTGAAATGTAGCTAGGGCAACTCAGAAACCTCATTTCATTTCATTGTAATTAATTTAAATCTTAAAAGCTACCTATGGCTATTGTCTCCAGAATTGGATAGCACAGGGCTAGACAGCAGTGTTTTTCCACAGTTACTTCATTTGGAGATAGATCTCACGTTAGTAATGGATAGCTGACGAAGGCCTGTACGCATTCCTCCTCTGTACAAACCCTTTTTGTCTCTGCACATAATTATGCTCAAGTCGGTCTCATCTTAAAGCTAAACACAAACACCCTCTCAGCAACATATACCCCTCTGCAGCTGCCCCTCTTGCCATGCACAAATATTCTCTCACCACTCAGCTCCCTTCAACCTGCCTCTGCCTACACTGCAGCCCGCAAGTTGCGTTTGCTGTTGTCACTAGATGCCAGTGCACACTCTGTAGGCCTTGTGTTTCTGCTGGTGACATCATGCTCTGCTAGTTCTGTCCTTGTGCCAGATCTTCCGTGGTGTCCTTGCAACTACCTACCACTTCCATTCGGCTACCACCCAAGCACCTCAAATAACATATCTGATGTTGAGACTGCCCCAAACATGTTCCTCCTCATCATGACCTCTTCCTCCTTCTCCCTTCACCTCCTCCACCATCCAGGCATCAAGTTCCAGAGATTGTCTCCTAAATCTTATAGATCTGGCCTCTCCCCTTCACTTCCACAGGCCTTCATCCCACACGTGGACTATAACACGAGCCTTCTAACTGATCCTCCTGCTCGAGTCTCTGCCCTATTCAGTCCCTCCTCACTTCTGATGCCAGAGTGATCTCTCTACGACATTTGCCCACTTAAACTCTTCCAGTACGCCACCATCACCTCCTGGTTAAATTCCACATGCTCTGGACCCCTGCTGCTTTCTTCAAACTGATGTCTTGTTTTTCTGCCCACAAAATACCTACTCTTTATGCACACGGTCTGTTTATGGTAACTCTGCTTTTTAGGCATTCTGTTGCTTCTGCCTAGGATACCTCCTCCACTGTCTGAAGCCAGTGGTCCCTCGGAGTCCAGGTTGATTGCCTCTGCCTCCTCCAGAAAGTCTTCCCGGAACCCCACCACCCTTGCAAGACCCCTTTGCATACCTCTGTTGCTTTCCTGAGAATAAGCCCTGTCCTCTATGCAGATGACGGTTTTATTATCATGTTTTAGGAATGAGCTTACTGGAACTCTAGCTCTACTAACTGTTCTCGATCAGAAAAGAAGCTTCAGATAAGTTCTATTTTAGTATAGTTCCTCATTTAATTGGCTGCTACCCACATCCTGGATAACATTCACTAAATCATTCATCGCAAGTGCTTTATTCTCAAGTGTCAGTGCTTAGAATCAGACAGGCTATGCCTTAATGAGATTTATTTTCAAAGCTGAGGTAGGCCTGTGTTAACATTTGCTTTCAAAATGTTCAAAATCACTGCTGCAATGCTTTCTGCTCTAGAATGTTGAGGGTCTTATCTGTTCTAAGCGTGGATTCTGTCACAGCCCTCTCTCCACTATCCATAAATACCTCCTACAAAACAGAAATGGAACATCCTTGTGTTTAGGAACATGTACCAGTTAGCCTCCTTGGGCACTGTAAAGCATGGTGAGCCCTGCCCACTACTAAGATAAATAGGCATAACAGACAATATGGAACATCTGTACTCTGTTACATGCCCCAAAATACCAAGTAGGTCAGGGCATCTGGGTGGCTCAGTTGGTTAAGCGGCTGACTTCAGTTCAGGTCATGGTTGCGTGCTTCGTGACTTTGAGCCCCATGTCAGGCTCTGTGCTGACAGCTCAGAGCCTGGAGCCTGCTTTGCATTCTGTGTCTCTCCCTCTCTCTGCTCCTCCCCTTCTCCCCACACCCCAAAATAAATAAACATTAAAAAAAAAAAAAGCTAAAAGTCATCAGGTAAGTTATAGCAGGCAAGAGTTGAGTGCTAGAGTCAAACTACTGAGCTTGGAATTTTAGCTTCTAATTCTAGGCAGGCCTCTTGCTCTCTCCAAACCCAGTTTCCTCTTCGATACCATGAACATAAAAGTGGGATATATGGGGGCGCCTGGGTGGCGCGGTCGGTTAAGCGTCCGACTTCAGCCAGGTCACGATCTCGCGGTCTGTGAGTTCGAGCCCCGCGTCAGGCTCTGGGCTGATGGTTCGGAGCCTGGGGCCTGTTTCCGATTCTGTGTCTCCCTCTCTCTCTGCCCCTCCCCCGTTCATGCTCTGTCTCTCTCTGTCCCAGAAATGAATAAACGTTGAA